AGGATTTCTCAAGGCACGCAAAGTCATTTGATGCAGATCAAATATTTATTTTAGTATTTCGACAAATACATTTTGGAAAAGCGATGGATCAGAGGCCTAAATCTGTACGGGAATTCAGTGTAGATAAGCATATGCGGTGCAGCGTTGCCAGATTTGGCCACTTTCAGAAATGCTTCGCAACTACTCGTTCATCTACTAGCAACTTTTTATAATACTGTTGGGTTACTTTTTGCCTTTTCAAGGTCGTGAAATTTTGAATATTTGTTCATCAATTCATACTTTAGGGCAATTCGTTCAGTTTTTTTGCTAAATCGCCGATTATTTTTGTCAGCGTGGCGTGTTATTTTGACCGTAAACACTTTTAAGTCGGTGTTTATTCTCCCAGAATCACAGAAAGTATTTCAAGAAAATGATAATAATTACTTTCTTTTTGTATTCGCCCAGAATTGTGAATTGGCTGAGAGTTATTATACAATAATCGGCGACGCAGATTTTTTCATTTAAAGGCGGCAATATAAAATACTAAAAATAAAACCCTAAATATTTGTTGTACGAGGCCCGGATTTGTCGAATTTGCAAAATGGCAAAAATGCGGATCAAAACTAGATACGAGAATATCGGTCGGAGACCGAAGACTTATCCATAGAAAGTTAGGGGATCCCCCAAAACAGCGCTCTTACTCCATAGTGACACCTTGTGTCCCATCACTAATTAATTAATAACTCGCTAATTATACGACATAATTCATCCAAAATCAATAGGCTTCTTTCCGACATATGATGATTGCACATGCAAAATCTGGAGCAGATTCAATCTCACTTTCGTGAGATATCGCGTGCATCTAACAGACAGACAAACAGACAAATACCTATCAACATACTTACCGATTAAAATCGATAAGTAATAACCGGTAGGTTCACTACATATTTCTATGTCCGCGGAATGCTGTGGTATTTTAGGGTAGTGATGCGTTTTTATTATCGACGCAACCACAGGTCAAACTGAAAACAAGTAAATTATAATACAGCAAAACATTTTAAATATTGCCGTTTCGGTCATGGATTGATTACTTTGCACAACAAAAAAATCATTATTAGCCGTCGAAAAAGTCGCGGGGATTTCGAGGCGATAAATATGTATTTTTGATTTGCTGATATACTTTATATGTATTTAGTTGTACTCTTTGAGATTTTTATTACAGATCTTGAGATTTTTCCTGACGGCGATAACGAATGCGCAAGATCATAAAAAAGTATCAAAACTAAATACACTCAGGCATGTTTATCTCATAATTTTATACGTCAACAGATTGAGCGGTATTTTAGACTAGTAATGTTAATATTTTGTTGTTTATAGATTCTCGTAGCTGTCATGAATTCAATATTTTACGCGACTGAAAAGTTGGTATAAACTAAAAAAGCCGGCTCTTGTTACGAGCGCGTAATCGCGGCGACTGTTTCAGAAGGGAAAGGATATTTCCGATTTCGATTATTCAAATCAGGTAGTTGACTATGCAAACCAAACACATAAAAATGTTTGGCACGCGAAGGTGCTCATTATTCATAAAATGGCACGCTGAGCTCAAAAGGTTGCCGACCCCTGGTATATTAAGTCACGCACTGTATCATGTGAGTATCTAATTACAGTCCGAGAAAGAATGGCATAGGTACAAACAAACAAACATGAACATTCCGAAGAAAACAAGAAATCTAAAAATGTTTCGTTATAATAGAATCGCGTAATTTTATTATACATTACAAGAATAGCGAGACATGGAATATAGAGTTTTAAATAAAATGCTTGTAACGCACAGATAACGGTTTCTCAGATAAACTATGAAAAATTTGCAAGTTCAGGCTTTAAATTAAAGTATAAGGCCTTATTAGCAGCAGTTTGAACAACAGTTTCGACTATTGTAAAATTAAACAAAATTCATCAACTTAAACAACCTCAAAATTCTACACAAAACTTATATACTTGAAGCACATTTTTTTAATAAATTTTCGCTTTTCTATTTTAATTCGAGAGCTTATAAGTACTATTTCGTTAGCCTGTTCGCTAATCTAATAAACTAATATAAATAAAAATTTTGCCTAAAGCGGACTCCGATTTCGCAATCACATATTTTCAGCAAAAATCAACCACAAACAAGTTCAGATAGAGTGAAAAAAATATAAAATTATATTACATGAACCTGGAACGTGTATTTGTAAACTCTTCTCTAACACGTATTAATATATACGTCGATCAATCCGAGCAAAGAGACAAATACAGAAAAAAGTGTGAAATATACCTTTCTGAAAGTTCATATAATATAGTCTATATAATATAATCTAATAGTAGTAGTGTAATATGTTAAAACACAGCTCATGAAAGCTACCACTCCTCCCGACTCATACTCTGTCGAAATCTAAAAAGACTCTCGGTAAAAAATACACCGAACACCTTCGAGACCTTTCGTATTTTGAAAAATAGTGAAGGAGTGAGCGTTTGATACATTCATGACATTCACGGGTCACAGATAAAATAGTGCTTTAAAGATGCGCGTCCTATTTTTGCCAAACTTGATCTCCGTTAAATATAATCGAATAAGAACAAGGACACTTCATATCTCGCCGATACGTGAGTGTAGCAATATACTGGCCGTATAGATAAACAATACGTTCAAAGCCATGACGCATCCACGCTTGAATAACACTTGAAATATAGAACAGCCCTCTTTGCGTTGCCATAGATTCCATTGTGGTACCGGGTATTTGAGATATATGTATTATTTTAATACCTGAATTCTCAAAGTTCATTCAACTACCTTTATATTTAAACGACAAAACAGATTTTATTTTAATATTTTTCATATAATAGTTAACAGATAGTATTCATTATACGATATTTCATAGTTCAATACAGTAAATCACTGCGTTTCACGATTGTGCCATGCCATTTAATTTTGTTTTCTTCCACCCTTGTTTGTAATGTGAAATAATTATCTGGCTTATACCCTTGTAAAAGTAAAAGCACATTATCTTTTTTAGTCTAAGCCGTTTTAAATAAAATTAAGCGTACAATACAGTAATGCAAGTTTTTTTCGTGTCCTTTATGGTTCATATATGAAATCTCTTTAAGGATGCGTTTAAATTATTTGTCATACTCCAGCTCATAAATACGGACTTAATTAAATTTTGTCTTGATTTCACTCGCAGTTTTACCAGTGTGAGTGTATGTGAAACAATACAAATAAAGGCCTTTACATAATGAAAACCAAAAAAATAGCTAACTCTGCGGTTTTTGTATTATAATATGGGAATTACATAAGCACAATAATTTTTTGTCGTGATATATGCTGGTAGTCGATGTATCATGAGACTTGCTGATTATACTCCGTTCAAACAATAAAATCGCTTTGGAAACAGAAAAATAAAAAAGACATTTTAAAGAATAACAAAATCTGAAAATGTGATGTAACAAAAGCGTCGAGTTATTATTATATTACGACGATAGCAAAACATCGAGACTCTAAATAAAAGTACCTTTCACAGCAGTTTTTTTGAATACACTAGAAACTCAACTGACTGCTGTCTAAGCGTGATTTAGTCACTATTTTTGGTTTATATACCAAATTCAAATGATAAGAATGGTTTTGCATATTTATTATCCGTACAATAACTTTTATACCTAAAACCAAACTACAGAAATATCCTTCGAATATTGTTCATTTAAGTAATGCTGCGGAGTCTTCCGGTCGCTTATATTGCCAAATTCAGACCCTAATGCAGTGGTTCCCAACCGCCGTGCCGCGGAACATCAGTGTGCCGCGAAATGATTTTGGTTTGCCGCGAAAAGATTTCATTTTTGAATTTATTCCAAGTGATCCCAATAGACAGTTGAGAGTTTGCATATCGACTTTAGACGGGATTTTGAAATTTGGAAAGAAGTTAAGATTAAACTAGACTGCTCAGGTATTTAATCATACTATACGCCAAGCACTGTGAACGGTTTTTCATCGGATGGCGTCGCGAACCTTCTCTGCCACCCTTGTATACATTGTGTGGATTAAATTAATATATCGCTGATACTTAGATCCCAGGCTGGCTCATTGGAAGTAGCATTCGTAATCATATTTTAGCATACGACTAGTAGATATGTGTGCATCACTCGGTAAGTGTGTATGTGCACGCCCAGGACAATCAACACCAAACTCAGGGGCGGACACATTTCGTAATTTGGGAGAGATACGAACTTGAATCACCAACCAAAAAAAAACATCGGGCCACGCCGTGTATCGGAAAGCAACAATAACCGTTCGAATTCATACTATTAAGTATTAGCATGTCATTTTAATACACATACTTCCAGTACTTAGGCCACTTTGCTTGGGCACGCAACCAGGGTGTTGCTAAACCGTTCCCTTGAATTCCGCGAGTATTACGCAACAGCTCTTGCGAACAAACGGAAAATACAAGTTTGATGAGTTGTATTTTTCATTCACTATTCTATACAAAAAGCGCGAAAGCATTTTTACAGTGGGTGATCTCTGTGTAAAGGCAATGATGAACGTTCCGAAAGTAATTTTACTAGCGGGGGGGAAAGAAGGTCGTCTGAGCGGTTTGTTAACTAGATTTATGATATACGCGCTGATTATAATATAAAATGTCAAAGAGGTTTTTTACATCCCAAATTTGCATCTTGACATCTTGGTCGTTGGTTATCTCAGGAAGTGTTCAGTGATGTGTTTTTCATTTCGTGAACCATTTTCACCTTAGTAGTAATATTTTGGAACAGGAAGTAATCTACAATTCAATTTACATAATTATAGGTTTTCTGTACTAAGCCAATAGCTTAGCCTCTTAAATTTTACGACTAAATAAATGTGTTGTGTAGTTGGCTGAAGCCGATAATTGGTTACTGTGACAAAAAGAACAACTGTAAATGTGTATTTTAATACTACCACAAATGGGAGCATGATAACAAAAATTACAAAGCGTTTTCCAAGGCCGAACCTCAGGATCATACTTTTAAGGGTCGTTTCTATAGTGTGTATCTTGGCCGTTTCGTCAGCGATTTGACAGGTTCGCAACCGCGATGATGAGACCGGGCCTTTTCCCCTGAGCGTGAAATCGTTTTTACTGTGCGTGACCCCTATGTGAAGACAGTGATGAGCGTCCTGCGGGTAATTTTACCCGCGGGTGGGGAGGCGGCGTTCTGAGCGGTATGTTAATTGTTGGCTAAGTCTTGCCAGCGCTTGTCGGTGACTCATTTGATTGCTTTGTCAGCGCGATATGAACGCATAATAAGAACAAACATTGCAAATAAAAAAAGGAAACTAACTCAATTTGTATGACAGGAGTCGTGTGGGAACTCAAAAGGTCTTCACGCAGCGACACCTATTAATGATTCCGGTGTAATCTCTATTAGACGAAAACTAATTTTTTTGAAGGAAAAACATGTTTGGTCGAATGTTTGTCATTAACTCTCTTGTAGCGTGATCGTTCGAAATTTTTCGATTCCTATATTTTTTTTATGTCTCCTGTTATTTGACAGTTACAATAGAACCATGTGTCAGTGAAGTCGTGATGTTTAACAAAGTTACTTGACTTAAAAAAAATTGTTTGTGCTGTGTTACCAAGTTGGAATTTCCGACATGAAAAATGTTTTTTTCGGAGTTGTGATTCTTTGGACTTTAACACACTTCTCAGGTTCAACTTTACCAAACTAAACTTTTCAATATTTTGCGGCCCTCGCAAGTGAGTCGTTTGTAGAAAACATTGCCCGACCAGAAATTAGATAACGCTACTATAAATTCACAAGTAGAATTTCAAATTTCCAAATAATGGCTCTCATGTTATTATTCTATCCCCAATCAAAGAAACTTTTATCACGCCATAACGAGTAAATGAATCGGGCTATTAAGTTTACATTGAAATATTATTAATAATTTCGCTCAAGCCGACGATTTAGTAACTAACTTCGAGATCACAGTTTTTGTGTGAATGGAGCGAAAATACCACATGTGCTTGAACTATAAAAATCTTCATATTGCTACGATCTCATTTTGCAACACTCCATCGCTCTAACACAGACACAATAATTTGTCGTGAAACGCAATCGTTTGGGTAAAGCCCTGATAGATCGAAAAACATCCTTTTAGTAGAAACTAGGGAGGAAACCTCAGGCAAAATATGATATTTCATATTGTAATTTATATCTGACCTAATATGAATCCATTGCATTTACTTCCTTGGGATAAAGAGTTCAAAAGGTTGATTGAATAGTCAATGAAGTGACTAACATAACCTAACAAGATTTTGATACTGCAAAGTCACAGACCTATATGGATTGGTTCATCTGTAAGTTCCACCATTGATATAGCTATAACGCATTTTTATTTTTCATATACAAAGTTGTCGTTTTGACTGAATACCCAAACACCACTCGGACATACAAATGTCCCATTATAACAAACACTTAGCTCCGAGGCTGGATTTAATACTGTTTCTTTCGACTTATTTACTGTTGGAGACACACACACTTGGAATGGGCTTCAATTTGAAATATTTATTGCCAAACACTTAGGATGTATGTATTTCTTGTGAAAGGTTTAAACATGGAGAAAATGCCCGGGCTCAATTCGAAGTCGTAAGCAAAAAGTTAATTTATATCAGCCAAGATTGTGGTCACGTCGAGGTAAATATGAAATAGCGGATGGGTGTACAAAACTGCTAATCATCAAAAAATGACATTTGTATATTGATTGCGATACACGCCATAATTTTTCAATTATCAGCTAATCTTTAACATTTGCCACAATAGCCCTTTTAATAGAACTTTTGATTAAATATTCTTTGCAATGTATCGGCTCATTGCATAAAACAATTGTAAATTGGCATACGCTAATGATCTAGCATTCGGTTTTCTCGATACTATATTACCTATTTTGTTCCACGGTAGCGGTAGATCATATTTAAAATTGGAAAAATATTAGCGTAAATATCGCAAGTACTGGTTGTAACTGAACCTATTCTTGCGACACATATGTGAAATGTAGCTGCTATTCTATGACGTCGATCTGAAGTACTTGGTTACATGAAGTAGAGTTGATGACTATATAGTTCATTGTACAATCTATATGATAAAATCACAGTTTCTTTCGAATTCATTGGTCGTTTAAGACGTTCGCATAATGGTATTCAAATCGTTGGTCTCGCTTACGACACCTAGCGACCTAAAAATATTCGCGAGTGAAAAATAATGTTTATCGTTTTAGAATTAGATGTACCGGTATGTTATTTGATGGAAGGAAGCGATAACCAGCCAGTCCTAAAGTTAATAACCCTGTACCAGCAGGAAGGGCAATCCTCACAAGCATATATATACTAAACTAGCTTCGGAAAGCATTTTATGTATATATATTTGATTAATAAATACGGGAAACAAGCACGAGTTTGTATCTGGTTGAGGAATTTGAAAACAAAAAGTGTTTTTCGATTCCCATTAAAATCCGATAAATAAAGATTTATAGAATGAACATACTCGTTATGAATCCAACAGTTGAACACACACTGGTAAGATTACAGCCATATTTAATAAGGTACCATTGAAGTAATATGTATGACTCAATCTTCCTTGAGTCAAAAAACAAATGGTTTTTCACGTAATTTTGTTTTTGCCTAACGGGTTGTACAGTTGTTCAAAAAAAATTATTAAAATAGATCCGAAACTCATGTTGGGAAAAATTCTTGAAATCAACATCCAAACTCAGTAATTCAGGTAACAGAAACTTTCAGAAACAAATAAGCATTGGGCTTGCCATATTTGAGACTTGATACAATGTATAAACTTGGCATACTTTATTTGTCAGTAGTTCACAGGTATCAAATCATTCAAGATACAAGGTATCCACCACATGTATACAGATCACACATTTGTATATTCCCATAGCAGCTTTTTTGATCAGTACAGCAACCTTGACTAAGCATATATTTCCCTTGAATATGATTCAGGTGTTACTAAAGTTTTGTTATGAGATTCGTTTTTTTTACCGAACATAGCCCGAGGTTTATTTTAAGATGCCCAATCAACATATCTTACCCGATATAAACAAATTTGATCTTTCTAGATTACAATTACCAGATAATGCGAGTTCATTTAATTATTTTGTTGGAAAGAGGAAATTCATGCGTATAGCTCATTCACGTAGAAGTGCACTTCATTGTCACTGCAGTCAATCTGTCAATCAACTTTGACATATTTGATTCATTCGTTCTGCATAACCAGCTCATGACCGGATCTCGTGTTCTATAGTAATATTGTAAAGTCTATCGTGAAGAGGGCAAAGTTTGATTTGTCCTAGCTAAGTTCATTCGTTTCTGTATAAACATTCGATAATTGATAGATCGTGATTGAATTACCGGGGTCTTAAAACAGGAATATATTTCCTATAGTTTTCAAAATGTGAAAAATAAAGTCAAACAAAAATGTTGCATGTCACAAACCTGTTATCATATCATATTTTATGCGCGAAATAAACGTTAAATCACATTACGTCTTAGTGTTTCTTTATACAGTGTAATTATTATACACGTAAGGTACTCGTGATTACTCTAGATCTGTCTTACTACATATTTCACTGTTTACGTATTATTATATAGTTTAAAGTTGTTACGGTTAATTTGTGTTGCGGTTATTTCACTGAAGTGCATTTTGTCTCGATTTATTCTGATATCGTCGTGTTACGTGTATGGAAATAAAAATCTTAATTTTATTCAACTGTTTGGAAAATTAGAAGAAATCTGATATACGGTTTTAATCTATATGCATTTCATCTTCGCAATGTCAGATCTAGCTTATATTAGATATCCTTGATTGCTTAATTGCTTTTCGCATTCGAGTTCCCGTTTTATGTTGAATTTTACTGGTTTCCGTTGTTCAATATTAGGTAATATAGGAAGGAACAATCACTTTGTGACGTCATACGAAATGAGGCAGAGTGATCCTTATTTGGAATCCATGCATTATGAAATCATACATCTATAGTTGATTTTATATTTCCCGTGTTGGTATTTTTATTTCTTGGTCACATTTGAACCGTTTCATATTCTTATTGGTATTGTTTGTAATTGGTCAGTATGCAAGTTTTTTCCCATATTGTTCAGGGCGTTAGATTTCAATATCGAATTTGCAAACTTTTAAATGCTGCGAGTTCTAAATCAGTTAAAGTTACTGAGATACCTAGCGCTTTCAAGCAGACTTACCCTAATTAATGAGTTCCATTGCCAAAGACAAAGCATAGCTAAAGTATAATGTTGTTGTATTTTGAATTATATCAGGATTATTTTCTAAAGTATGTTAAGCAATTATATATATATATGTGATAAGCATTTATTTTCAATACAATTTACCCAACGGAAGGTGATACGCGCTCATTCAGAAAGAAGTTAAGCGAACTTACCTTCGTGCAAGGTCACTTCTATATGTGAATTAATATGAAATACTGAAACCAAGTAGAACTATGGGTTCTTTGGTACAAAGCCTCCACAAACAAACAAAAAACCTCCGTCAACGCTCAATTAAAATATGAAAATTAGTAATTAGCCAGTCAGTGTTAGGGTGAGGGCTAGGAATGCAAATTGCTTTAAAAATTCAAATTTTTAAATCATTCTTCGCCCTAACCCTAACCTGAACTGGATAATTACTAATTTGTTATCTTACGTTCCGCGTGACGGGGGTGTTTATCTCAAATCTCGCTTTTTTGCATTAGTTTTGTACAAAATAACCAAATTATGGCTGTGCATTGCGAGCCGTTAAATGCAGACTTAAACAAGACGCGAGGCAACTGAAGCCAATGCGACCAGGGACACAGTTGACTTTAATAAGCAAGCAGACAGGACAATGTTTGACAAGCAAAATAGATTTAGTAGCAGCATGCGTTTGACTGGATAATGTGTTTGATTAGGTAAATCTAAGAAGTAACAATCTGTTCGAGAAACCGAAAACAGAATTTTTTTTATTTTTTGTTCATCTTGGTGTTGATGTTGTCTTAGTGTCGTAATCATTAGATATATCAAATCTCCATATCATGTCGTTGCGATTTCGAGAGACAATTCAAATCTCCTAATAACAATTAAAGAAAATACACGCAACGAACTAGCTAATCGAAAGTGCCAGTGACCATATATACGCTCATGGCGAGAATTCACAACGTTATTTAAACGGTGTAATTTGATTAGTATTCTAATTAAGATCAGAGCTGCGATTCATTCTCATAAACCCAATGAAATTTTACACATTTACGCAAAACAGATATTTAAAACGGGTAAATGCGTGATACGTAAATTCTGCGTACGTATATCCAGGAAATTTGCCGTCGTGAGAGTACGTATTGTGGCGTCACACATAAGGAAGTTATTTTGTTAAAATGACTAACGAGGGCCCATTTTTTTAAACACGACCAGACTTGAGTGATTGATATAACTCGCTGTTGTGGTATGAAGTATCGATGTGCCGAAGATAACAAAAATGAATGTGGAATTTGCAATTAGAATGAATTTGCCCTTTCTCCCTCGGTGTCATATTTTATTATTATGCGTACAATATACAGTATAGCTCAACAACTCTTGCGTTTAATATAGCTTAGTAACAACGTTTCATTATATAGATGCGTGTTTAATTCTGGGCCTTTTACGTGAAAATCTGATCAGGTATGTTATGTAAGGTCAGAGTTATCGTGCGATTTGCAGCAAGGATTTCGAATGCTTTTCCGCACCAATCTAATCTCGGAGATATGTTTCGTATGGTTTTATTTAGTCGTAAAATGAAGACGCAAAATCAGCTGATTTCAGATTAATCTGCGATTACAATGACACATTCGGATTCGTTTACCAACCCAAGAGCTATCAATTTGATTTGTGATAGATAACGGTTGATAAAACCACTGTATGGCTAATCAGAAAATGAGTTTTACAGTGTTACAGCTTTACTATTGCTTTGTAGTCAGCACAAATTGTAAACAATATACAAAAAAGAGTAATTAAATTGGGCAAAAATCGAAAGTCAACAAGATGGTATTTAATTAAAAACGAGCGCAGAAACATATCGTCTATCAAGTCAAGTTAAGGTTCTGGATTTGTTGGAATTATTTAATGAAGTTTCATAAAATTTTATGAATGGTTTATATTTATCACGTCTGTTTCAAAAAACCGGTATCTCGAAAGCATATTCGCACTTTGTTGAAAATTTTTGCCTCTTGAATACGTCGCGACAAATAATTTCAACACCAAAAATTTTGGACGAGAATAGTTTCGTATGATGATAAACCAACATTCATCACGCAATTCGGTTGAGTCCGTTAGTGTCAAGCAGAGAGTCTTATTCGAAGATGGAGCATTGGTAAATAACACATAGAGTGAAGTTAAATAATCGGTATTTTTAGAAGTATTCGTTGAACTCTCCGCCTACATAACTAGAATGTATACACTCGATGCGACAGTTCAGCTGATTGTAGCATGTGAGCAATTGATGACATACATTTAATAAAACAAACACTATTTATGACGTAATAATACACAAGATACTGTCAGGTGTTTTGTTACACAATAAATCATTTCTTGTCATATCAAGGAAGTGTCATCAACCGTCTAATTATGAATGAAACGTTAATTAATGATATACATATGCGTTATGTCTTGGAGGCGGATCAGCGAGAAAGATTAAGGCAGCGGATACCGATATTTGAGTTTAGTGATATCACACGAGGATTACCATGGGATGAAAATGCCATCGGAGCCCAGTCTGATATTTTCGTTACTTTTAACATATACCTGATCTAGTACGTAATAAAAAATAAGATGTAATTTTCCAACTTTGTAAATGAGGAAAGAAAAGCCGATAGGGTAAATCGTGTAACGAGAGAAATTTTTCGTTAGGTTTTCAATCCAGGTCAAAGGATAAATTAGCTAGCCAGTTTAATCGTCCTAGATGTTCAATTTGAATGTTGAATATACCCCTGAATAATAAGAAGTAACGAGATTTCTCATTCGACGACCGGAAACCCAGCTATCCGCATGTACAGATTAACTTCGATTAAAACTTCGATTAAATATTCCTGCATCAAATATATTACATTTTCGTTCACAGATAGAAATATAATGAAGCCAATATAATGGAGCCCTCAGATAGCAACCAGTTGGCTAACCGTTAAATCGTTCCAAATAAGTTAATGTTCTATGATGGAAGCCGTACCAGGAATTCACCAATCCGCTTGTACATGATAATCTTGACTGAATTTAAACCTTTAAATATAATCACTATCGAGCCGTTATATAGATTCCATTTCATATCTTACTTTTGCATTAACAGATAGAAATTTAAATATAACTAAATCAATAAAATGGAACCTTCCAGCAGCACCCAGGATTTAGATCGAGCAATACAAGAACTTGATGGAATGTATCATGACCTTAAAAGACGATCTTTGGCGGAAGCGCAACTCAATCTTCCAGATTTAAGGAATTTCAATGAAGACGAAGAGGATTATGATATACCTAGGCCAGCCGGAGGATTTCTAAATACCGTAAGTATACATGTGACTCTGATTCACAGTGATAGTGATAGTGATAGTGACAGTGATTTTCTCGTTTGTATCAAAAACAGGTTCCCTAGATTCCGAAAATGTATACAAGTAAACTGCATTAACGTGGCATGATTCATAAATGGCGCTCCCGAAGTATGTGCACCAAGATGGCGCACAACCTGAACCCTAACCTGGGACAATTACTATGTGCTACACATACCACTTTTCTACTAATTTCGGCCTGCATATTTTAAGTTCTAATTTATGAACTTTCCGAAATAAACTAAATCCTCATGTTTTGAACGTTTTTTGCAATTATCAGTGAAAGTATAGTGTTCATTCCATTTGAATCGAAAGTAAATATACAGAATATAAGTCGAGAAGAGCCGAGTTACATTTTGGGGAATCGTCTATCGACATTTTTAAATTGATTTTATTTAATACTTACTGAACTTGGAATAAAACGCAAATTTTTTGCTATTTTTTGTGTCGTACATTAATTTATGCAAGCCGAACTGGCCATATTTTTATTTTTACATATATTAATTAATATAAACTGGGTTGAAAATATACGTGACAAGCTCTGCTTGAGGCTTATCCGCGTCTTTCACTTTGACCAAGGCAGTCACCGATATGTATGGAGGTATTGGTATTACCAGTTTAGCTGTGAGTGGGCGCGTAAAATCGGATGTTTGAGTGTGTTTATTTCATCTTCAAGCATGCAATTTTGGTATGGCATAAAGCAAACAATAATGGTGCGTCTGGCGTAATATATACTTCTTTGTAGCAACGAAGTTGGGCATTTAATAAAACCGTATTTTCAAAATATTTTCTAGTATATCTACGTTACAGTATCATATCTTTATTATGGTGGACTTCACGTTCATTGACTGTGTTTATTAACGTAATGTCTTGTAATCGACAGCCTGTCAATCACGATTCACGCCCGCCCACTTTCTCCACGTTTGGAACTTTCAGATCGCCGTATGATGACGATATTCCTATTATAAGGTAAACACTAGACTATGAGTTACACATTAAAATTTTTGTTAACTTCTGATAGCAAATATAATATGCAATTTTATATACCTATAGCTATGCTTTTCCAATCATTTAAAAATAAATACTTGATTTCTCTTGAATCGTTTTTATTCAGATGTTAAGTAATATAAGATATATATATGTCATTTGAATTTAGTCTAATCAAACTTCCAATAACAGCATACTATATTGTATATATATATATATTTCCATAGTGTATTTCCAATTTGTTTTAATCGGGTTGTTCTTATTCATGGTCTGCGCCAATTTTGAGTGGATTTTTTTAATTATGATATTTCAATTCATCTCAAAAAAAGTCTGAACCTATTGCTTTGTTAAATATTTTATTCATTCCTTTTACATTTCTTAATTTTTTAATTGTGTTTTAGTCCGATTCAAGTGAAAGTGCCCAATTCAAGAGAATTCGTGGCGAAATCTTCGACATTCTCGTCTGGGAGCGAATATTCTTCAGGGTTTGGGACCCTTCCACATCCCAGCGAGTAAGATGAGTTTAACTTTAACAAACATCATAAATCCATTGTTTTCAGCAGTTGTTTTCAACCATTTTGGTTGATCAGAATCCCGATAAAAAAACATTTCAGAGGCTCGCGGAATCCATGCGAAATAGTTTAAAAAATTCGTTAATTTCATTAAAGTATGGGCGCTCCAGATATGAATGTACCAATAAGGAGGTAACTAATTTTGTTCGCCTACTTTACATCAAGTTGTGTAAAGGGACTGAAACCTATGAGTAGGGGGTATATTCACTTGGCTAACACAGACAGTCACCGAATTCGTAATAGGACTAAAATAAGGAAAATCGAAATAAAATTAAGGCCTAACCCTAAACTTATACATATTATACTACGGGAATACCAAATTATGAATACATATTAAAGCAAACCTGATACTCAAAACAAAATGATATTCAAATTGTCACAGTTTTAATAATAGGGGCAAACGCAGTGCCGGGTATTTCATCATATTTAATCATATTTTATAAATATGAATATAGACTCTCGGATTCAAATGGTAACTCTTGAAACCCCTGGTCTGTGCTGCAGGACCCCGGTTGAAAACCGCTGGTCTAAAGTAAAATTTAAATTTTTGTTCGTAAAAATAAAGATCGTGTTCAATAAAGATACCATATCTCCCATATTTGAAATTCGTTGTATGATAATATTTGTATATTTATTTGTATGGAGCTCCATGTAATTTACTAAGAGACTATGAGGTTGATAATAATCAGGCGTGGCAGACTGACTACTAACGAGGTGTTCCGACGTGCATAGAACTTGTAGCTTAAGCAAATGGTAGCTCCAGAAGTATGTGCACCAAAATGGAACACATTCTGAACATAGCATGTGTAGCAGGTTAGGGTTCGGGTTGTGCGCTATCTTGGTACACATAGTTCGGGAGCGCCAGAAAATGAGGTAATAAATATCTATTTAAACCTATTCTTCTGCAATGATAGAAATTTCCGAAAAACTCCATTTTGGTTATTAAAACTAATAATAATATTTTCTATGATGCAAACTGTTTAATAATAATAAATTGGATTTTCAAATCCTACCCTCTGTAATGTTTTGCCAACCATGAAACGTGGTAGCATGTTTATCTCCAGCGGCCCATAGGTTTCAGTCCCTTCACACAACTTGATGTAAAGTAGGCAAACCAAATTAGTTACCTCCATATTGGTACGCACATTTCTTGAGCGCAAGATTGACTGTGTTTTTGTTCTGACTGCAACTTCTACTGAAAATATTACTAAACTAACCTAAATTTTCACTGTTTTTGAATTTAGAAGAGCACAGATTTCTATGATAGAAATTGATTTTCCTGGACCTCCAGCATTTGAACCTCCCGTGCCGCCATCCAAACCTGATCCTAAAAGTTCGTCCGATTCTGATTATGATGAAGTCGCTTCAAACTCAGATAGTTCGGAAAATGTCGGTCATCAACAACCAACTACGGTAGGTCTGCTTTACGACAGCGGTTGCCAAGTTTGACGTCACAAATACAATTCCCGATAACGCTGCGCCAAAACAACATATAAATTATTTTCTTACAAAAACTGGAACTGTTTTTTATTTAGCTATATCAGTAGAGGTTTAGCGAGACTAACTCCTAATCCTCTCTCAATGCATTTGCGCTGGTGGAACCGTTTGCGTATAATGCAAGGATGCTGTAGCAGTAATAAACATGACCACACTATGCAATTCTTGTCTTGGTTCATACTAACACAATGTATTTTTGTAAAGTTTCATTTGACCAAAAACAGATATTTGCAGGAATTGTATAATATGTTTTTTATTTGCCCGCATTTATACTAGATTTGGGCTATCCTGTCGTTTATGTGTACAAGAATTAGTTATGTGTCGAGTTAATGAATAATATCATTTAAATTCAATTGATTTTGGATTATTAAAGTGCAATGGTCTTCCAGTGTGTCGCGATTTGATTGAAACAAAAAAAATGCGTTATGAATTATAAAAATTTAAAGTTATGTTTTATTTTGTGTTTTTATTTTTTGTACAAATCTAGAGGTAAGCTAAAATATTGAGAAATATCAATTTGTGTGGAATTTTGGTTATCGAACCAATTCTCAATTCATTGTTTTTATTTTCTAGAAAAAAGACGATCCCGGAGAAAGTGCTATTGTATACGCACAAGTTCGACGTCCAGACCACTTTTCCTTCAGAAAGTTGGATGATGACGATTATGACGAGGTTTACGTTCCTCCAACTCAGCGCGACAGTGCAGTTCGTCAAGAATTCACTCGGGATGACAATGGACCGAGTATACCAAGTACGCATTTCATATCTAAGCTTGTTCGATACCATACCGAATAAATTGAGCCAACCCGACCACAGTAAATTTAATATTATTGATTGTCGCGCCATTCTTCCCCGAGGCAACGTTTCATATGTTCGCTCTGTGTCACAAAACAGGCAGACACTGATATGTATATCTGCTACTCTCTTTTGAAAATGCGGTAATAGATATCTACAAACTGACCATCTTATTTAACTTTAATATACTTAGTCAGGATGAGAATTTTTAATCTGTGACTTCAACGTAGTTGGTCGGTAGCGTAACCAATTAGGCCCACATGTCCCTATTTCGAATTAGAAACAATCCAAGCGGAAGGGCGTCAGCGTGCGTTCTTCGCGCGTTCAAATCACAGCAAAACTTTGGCAATACTCTTCGCAATTTGCCTCACACTTTAAGTTGCCAAATTTTTAGATATTATTTAACATGAGCCTTAAATGGATGGATTGAATCTCAACATATTATTAATAAAATCAAAATTTAGAATCGTTCAGACTCAAAGTCAGTCAGTCGTTATCTTATTTTTTCACATAGCCAAAATACAGTATGCGCCAAGATGGCGCACAGCCTGAACTTAGTATGTGTGTACCGGTTAGGATTCAGGTTGTGCAACATCTTGGTGCGCATACTTCTGGAGCACCGAAATCAAGGGACCTCCAGAAGTATGCGCACCAAGATGGCGCACAACCTGAACGTAGTATGTGTGTACCGGTTAGAATTCAGGTTGTGCGACATCTAGGTGCGCGTACTTCTGGAGCACCTACGTAAGTGTACAAACAGTAAGGTAAAATAAAAATAATGTATTTCAGCGTGAAGGGAGACGCGATACACCAGTTATAGTTATCGAGTAGCGTCATCTATAGGAAATTATCAAATGTACGTAACCGTACTGTAAAGAGTTAAATACTAACAAAGTTTCTGGATTTTCTTTCCCAAACTTGTAATAACTCATATTGCAATGTGTTTTAAAGGATCAACTGTATTCGAAGACGAAATCGAAACGCTGAACCAACCTTCAAACACTAGCCCCAAGTCAGATACAGCTCCTTCACATTTACCCGGTAAGTTAAAATTTTGTTCTATCGATCACGTCATTTATCAATATTATTTTAAAACAGTGCTTCCCAAAACAGGGGCCAATTGCGGCCCGTGTAACAATTTTATATGGTTTTGGAAGCATCTCATTCCAATTAGTGACATTCCCTCCTATGTGGAAATTACTGTGTAATGTAGGCTTGAATTTTTCCAAATTCCATTCATACTTTAGTATACGAACAGCGCGGTCGTGGAAGTTAAGATATACCTAATTTCGAAAACACGACTTTTTACTCTTATTTCAGTTATTTTCCTAGTTTCAATCGAAGCTCTATAATTTACTTTGAGAAAATTTTGAGCAAAAAATTACATAGTTAAGAGCGACACCATGAAAGATTGGTGTAATAAAATAATTCATAAATTCAGCTTAAAGTCTCATTCATAAATTCTTGGACAATTTTTCCGCAGTCTTTATTTCGTTCAAACGTTACACGATAGAGCTAATATCGCGAAATCATATTCAAAAATTGAAATCTCAGAGATCCACTTTCATTGATCTTCTCCGATTCCTTATTCTCTTATATTTTACGCGTGGCAACATCGCGATTCCCACTAACTATATTTCTTCAAACATTTAAACCGTTAGAAGTATGGCCATTCGTTGAGGTTTCAACAATTCGAAGAATACTTTGTCATATTCTTGAATGGCAATTTTACGATCTTCATTAAAAATGAGATTATTTGCAAACAATTACTATGACAAATGCTTCAATTAACTGAGCGTATTTCTCTTACAGCTGTTGTTCAAATGAAAGAAATCGACAATAAAAGCGTTGATCGAAACAACTCATTACAGAAGGAAAATAAAGTAGAAGAACATTCGTTCATTACTCCTTGCGTCCAAGTCGAACCTGCTAAAAGTTGGGACTATATTGCAAAAGGTAAGTAATGGGAACTTAAAAACATTTCCCTGTTTTGATTCAAAGCATTTAAACGCATTTAAATGGCGTTCTCTCACAAGTTTTTTGCGAATGAAAGTCGTATTGGAATGATCCCATCCAACACGATTTTTTTTTTCCTTTCCGTATGTTAGGATAGGATTTACATATTTATCCCAGGCAGGAAGAAAGCCGCTTTTACCGCTGAATCATATGGCGAACCACGGCCTTTCGTCCGGTTACTAGCCCATGTCTAGTATGGGATTAGTTAGCCAGTTATTTGTTTCAGAAGCATGGACTTGGTGGTGGAGGAAGCGTAACAGACCGGCGGTTACGTGAACCACCCTACCTACTATGACGAGAAGTCGAGCAATTATGTTTGTTTGGTATTCACAAAATCATAGAAGTGAACTTATTATTTCGAATGCATAGCAATATTATGAGTTCGGTATCTTACGATGGTTAAGTTTATTCATGAACAGAGGTGGAACGGAGTGTTTTATTACCCTATACATTCTGATGGTATGAGACTAGTCAGTTGGATATGACGTTAAACAGGTTTTTGAACCGGGGCTAAAACTATTTCCAACCCAGACTGCCGGGCCATGTAAGTGTCTCGTAAAAAGTTACATTTTGTGAACAATATTAACAGGGTTGCATAGGCAAAAGTGGAAAACAATGAACATCGTGCCTATAAACTAAATGTAATCGCAATCTCAACAAATTCCTTGAGCTATGTTTTAACTCAAACATCAAAATTTGGTTTTAGTTTGGCTGTGGCAGCATCAGGCTGGCCAAATTGAATCTACCAACGAGCAGGATTTAGCCCGTGGGTCGTATTTTACCCATGTCAGTGTGGAAACAAGTCCATTCAGAGAAACAAAATTCTGAGAGAAAAAAGTTTATTTTGCCAAGCCTGAAATGTTTCAGCCCTTTGTAAAACAGTAACAACTTATTTATTAGGACTGCCCAATCAAAGCCTAAGGTATAGTGTCACAATTCCGCCTGGCATTTCTAGAACGGTATAAAAAGCAACGCCTAAGGAACATTGATTGTCTCGGAATCATGAACGCCTGTAAACATTTCCTAGAAGTCTCAGTTATTTATGTATAACTCGATACGTACATGTTCGGCCAGATTTGAATCACAATAGGCAATCATCAATCTATGACTGTGAAATGTTTATACTTAACACCATACAATATTCATATATATATATTGCTTTGGTGTGCATGAATTTAATGAATCACCACATACATCAAATCTGTCAAAATAAATTACATTATTACAGTTATTTTGTGCTGTATTTAGCTTTCTAACTATCACTCAATATCGAGATACCAATATAACCTGGCTGACGTTTCACTGCCAATCCACTGTGAAGAGACTTTTACATGGCTCAAATAACAACCACATAACTTAACTATGATAATATGACAGGATAAGCTATAATAATAAAAGACGGGTTAATGTTATTTCTGCAAATATGATTTAACACTTATATATATGCAGTAAGTTGAGGTTTCGAATAATTTTACAATTAAAGTTTTCACAAATCATGCAAAGTTTCACACTTGCTCAAATTTAAATGAAATTTCAAACAACGGATAAAAGCAAGTAATATAACCGGCTCCTTTCAATAGTACATACTGAAATGGACATAACTCGCATTACTCACTTGCTTAAATTAACCAAAATAGAAAGCATACAACATTTCCTATTAGATTCATCTAAAGACGTCATAGATGCGTCACGTCCGGTAGACGAAAATGGTAACGTTGTGGACTCTTCGAGACTCGATACCGAACCTTCTCATACGGCGAAAGCAATCGAAGTAGACGGAACGCCGTACTCACCCCAAAGGTTAGTTCGGAGTTTATATTGGGTTCAATGTTAAAACAATAAATGTAAGTTAGGCTCAGAAGGCATATGATAGCACTGAGTTAAAATTTAAAGATGAATTCAATGAAGCCCAAACGTTTTGTTATTGCTCGAAGTAGGAATATATTTAGTTTATAGTGTGGTCAATGTAATAACAACAAATGTAACATAAATCCTTTACCACAGCCAGTTACCGCTTGTATCACCTTTTTCAGAAAAGGGTTAGTGACCTAGGAGTCTGGTACAAAGCACAGAACAGATGGGTTATTAGCACACCGCTAAATGAAATAGCCTAATCAAGTGATTTATTGATTGAATGGTGATTTCGTGAAAGGTTTCCATGATTTTTAAAAATACTATCAACACCTTTCGCACTTAAAATCATCCAAATTCAGTTATTTAACGTATAGCTTTTACCTTTCAACGATTGATTGCAACACTTTTATCTGTGTCATCAGCTCATTACCCATTTTAGATGAGGGTTTTTGTCCTATTTCTTAGGCAATCCTACATATAGCACATAACGGATTAGTTATAAGCACTCCCGCCAAATAAATTCAATTGAAAAATCTATTGATTAGAATGTAATTGCGAGAAATGTTATTTTGATTGAGAAATATCATCTGCGCATTTGTAATTAAAAACTATACAAATTCGATTATTTAGCGAAGTTCTAAATCCTTGAATTGAGCATAGCTCGGGTAATCTTATAATTTGACAAGCAATAAGAATGAAAATATGGAAATAAATGCTTTGTTGTACTGCATTGCCTACACAGTTGAAATTTACAATTAGGACAGTAATTATTCTGAAGTGCGCTTATTGGGCACTTCAAGTTCTCAAGTACCGTCGATATCAATTGAACTCATGAAGGACAAGTTCTCAGTTTCAAATACTCATCAAACTGGTGGTATATAGAGATGCATAAGTTTTTAAAGCCAGACTAATGGGATCACAAAATTTACAATAGTTTATAAAATGCTAAGTCCCGCTCTCACAAATTTTTGAGAAAAACGGATTTTATTTTTTCATAAATCAACTTTTAACTCAGTCGCGTTTTGTTAGCTAATAATTTCAATCACTTTTTTCCATATGTTATACTTCAAGCTGTTATATTATTTAGTAATTGTATTATTCCCTTTTATTTTAGTTTTTCGATCAGCTTACATAATTTAATATTTAAATTATTCCTCTAGTTATAATTCAACGATGGGAGGATCTATGGACGCCGAAGCTCAACGTAAATCTATAAGCAAACGTGAGTTAACTTCAACTACTTTTATGATACTAAGTTATTGCCAATGCACAACTTAACCAGATTTTTCTAAGCCAAACGTCTATACATCAATCAAGCCTAGCATGAAATGTGAAAAGAAATAAACATAATGTCGTATGTCTTCGCGAAGTTATGTAATAAGTTTTAAATTTGCTGTACGTTTATTATAGGAATATGTGTATTTATATACAGGGTGTCCATAGAGTCCCTTTACAATTTCATTTTTGTTGTGAATTCTAAATATATCCTAACCGAAATTTTTTTTTTTTCAGGATTTGTTTAAGTATTTTTACTTCATTTAATACATCTGTGAGGGCCAAAATAATATATATATATAATATCCATAAGTTTCCTTAGAACTTTATGGACACCCTAAATTTAAATATATATGGAATATACTTAGCTGCACTACTAATTTGACTTGATTCTACTCGTGTTTTAATTTAAAATTGAATTGAAAAGTTCGGGCATTGTGGATACATGAAATAGCGAGTTCATGCCACTTTTACACGTCTAACGTTAAACTTTTTTTACAGGCGAAGACTGTCCGTGTGAATGTCGATTTGCCGTTCCACTGATGTCTGCTGCGGTTATCCTTTGCGTCATAGCTCTACTGTTCATGGTCATCGGATACGTTTACGTCGGTATGTTTAACTTGAGTGATTTTCTAGTTCATTTTCTTTATAGATTGGGCTCAGTTGGTATATATTAGTGGACATATGGACACTGGATATAAAAAAAAGGTAATTACAACTCACGCGTTTTGAATTCCATAATGCAACTAAGCCTAATATGTCTGAGCATGAAGCAGGAATATATTATCTTCGTGGCAGACCTACGATCTTGCTCGCTTACGAAGCTTGCGGCGAGTCGCGTTGCGTTATGAAAACAAAAAATTACAAATTTTCGCCTGTTCAAAGATTGCTTTTAATTAACGTGTTGCATTAAACGTCCCTGACCATAAGATAGTAACTATATAACTGATGAGTTCTTCTCAGGATTTCATGCATTTGATATCTTAAATTATGAAGATGTAGTTTTCCTTTTAATAGGTTACAATACATCCTTTTTTAAATAAATGCGCTTTCAAACATGTACAAAAAACACACATATCTGGATAAGAAAGAGAAAAATTGAAGAGTATTACAGAAGTATTACTCTCAAGCTCCCCCTGTTACTTGAACAACTTAATCATTTCATCTTAGCTCCTTCCCACAGCTAACTTTTCCATCCAATAAATTGTTTAAATTATATTTAGGTCTACAAAACGATAAATACCTGGAGTCCGCAAAAGATGAAATTGACAACGGCTTGAATATTGGCGGAAGCGGTAATGGAACAACTTAAAGTCTTAAATATTGGTCTATAAGACAGTTCAATAAGGTGACTGCTAGAGGGAAAGACAACACGCCACAGCCAGTATTATGCAAACTGTATAGACTCAAACGAACTATGGGTATATTTTACTTAAGGAGGGCAAATTGCAACATTTTGCTTAGGCAGAGTTGTTCACACATAACTAGTTTTTTAAGCTTTTTTGTAAAGTAAACGCAGATTATAAGTTCGACATCTAGATTATGCAGATTGTTGTGCAGAAGCCTTGAATAATAACGGAATTCACTGATAAACGAGCTTTTGTATGCTTTTGTATGTTTTTCACGCTTCAAACGTTTAAACTGTGATGAACTATGTTACTTGTTTGCTTACCGAGGCTGGTAGTTCATGTAAATATACATACTGTACAATACTTTCGTTCTTCTTATATATATACATGATTCTTATACTCTAAAAGGTTGTTAACTTCGAAATCGTTCCATGTAAGTCGGTTTTTTCTCAAGTTATAGAATGCTTTTAATAAGATAAATATATTTAGAGCTATTTCCATTCTTTATATAGTTCTTTTTTTACGTTATCCCTTCAATTAAAACCAGACAAGTATAACTTTCAAAGTTAGAGATTGCTTGAAAATGAGAGAAATATGATTATATATATTTGTTTTCAAATGCATGGACTTGGTGGTGAAGTAAGCCGTAACGACCGGCGGTAATGTGAACCACTCTACGACGACGAGAAGTGCATCAATCCTCACGCGGATAATAATCCCCCACGATATTCCAACCTGCCATGCTGCCAACACATACAGGATAATCAGGGGTGCGGTGGCGAGCGTATTTCTAACTCTTGACTAGGGCTGGGCATTTTCGAATATTTTGTGATTTCAGAATCGAATCGAATCGAATCTCGAATACTTGGAAATTTATAAGAGACTTTTAATTGGTCCTCTTAACAAATGATTTACTGAAGACATAGAATACATCACTCAGATAGATTACTGAGCGTTCACACAGAATAACAAACACGTTTTATCAATAACTCACTACAGAAAATAGTCATATATTAGAATTGCGTTGAAAAAATATGACTTCAATGAAAAAAAAATTAGGGAATTCACCTCGACATTTGACAAAAAAAAGAAAGCAAGATGGCGGCGATTCGAAATTTAGCTCTGAACCGATTCGAATAATGTACTATTCGATTCGATTCGAAATGCCCAGCCCTACTCCTGACACGATGCGCGACACCACCCAATTTTCTAAGCTTGACACGGCTGAAAAGAGAAATATGGTTATATTTCGATCCCTTATTTTCATATTTTCACAATACACAAGTACAAACAGTGCTAGACAGTTATTAGATTGTGGATACAAATAAATTTTTACACTGTTTTTAGTAAACACGTTTGACTTACTATAACCGCCGGACTGTTGATATTTGGTGACCGTACATTTGAATCCATGTGTATATCCGCGGGTTCAATCTATATGCGGGTGCTAAAACCCATGGGTTAGGGTTAGTATGGGTTCAAATATCCGCAAAACAAAAAACAATTCCATAGGTACAATATATGCAGGTGCAATTGTCGTGGGTTCAAATGTACGGGAACCTTGATATTTAACCGGATATCTGGAACCTATCAGTTAATAGGTTTAGCCTACATTAAGCTTAGATTCACCCTGCAAAAAGTCTCCGATGTAAAATATTTTGATGAGGCATTCTTCATGCTCAATTTACCACGCAAATACATGATTTTGACGACATAAAATTTATTAAAAATTAGCTGGGTATAGTATACTCTTAAAAATGATTATTTACTTTATGAATTTCCCATATCGAATATGACAATATTCCGAATGTATTCGAAAATTTGATTCGTTTTCAAGACATTTCATACAGTCTTCCACATATAATATATTGCTTATTAATTCCGTGACATAAGGGTTTTTATATTATTTCAAATTTATTTCTATGTTACATACTTCTTTTAATATTGTATAGTTCATTTAATATAGTTCCACCAATAAAACTTTGAATGATAAAACTGCATTGTTATTGCCAGAAAACAGCACTGGTATTTAAACAAATAACCTGAGTATCACTTACTGAATAAAACGTTCATGGCTCGGTGATCGTACTGGATGGCTTTTGAAACATAAGTATTCAAGTACTCCCAAGTATTTTATGTGTGAAGGATAAATTGGAAATTAGGAAATCATTTTAGATATTATTTTACCGACTTTTATCACATTTTGTCAGTGAATGCAGTGAAAATAGTTGTCACAGACAAAATAAATAACTCCCTATCAGACATCTCATAATGTTTTTCATTGGTAACATTAGATTTTCCTTAAATTCTACTATTTTTTGAAAGATGTGAGGCATGTTTAAAATATGTTACCCGACAAAAACAAAACATTTTCGCGAGATGGCGCGCAAGAGTTTCGCTGGGCGACATCTCGCGGATTGTTATCATTCGACTTCGTAAATTTTACTGCGAAAACTTTGAAATATTATAAGCTCTTCAGTTTATGCCAAAAACTCTTTTTACGTTGGTTTAACATCTCTTTAACATATGTTAAAAAGCGAATTCGATTCTGACTTCGCATCTTTAGAAATTAGTCAGCCTGGAAGTTCAAACTTGCGACCCCGACGCGTCGAAAACGCTTTAATTTTACTTTCCGTGTTTTCACTGGTCGGTCACTACATTGGAGAAAATAAAGCGAATGGGGTGGGTACATCTTAAGTTAACATAATAAATACATTAATAATCTTCTAAAGTGAACATGACTGATCGTCGAAAATATAACTAACGGATGCAAAGAAATCTTTCATATACCGCGCAATTACATTATAATGAATAAGAATAGTGCAGGTAATCCATGTATCCAAAAAGTATAATTATGGATAACTTTGAAAAACTAATTTCCTATCATCTCTTATAAGAAGAACACGAAATGCTGCTTTCCGAACTCCCTTTTTAGCCGTTGCCCCGAGACTTGTATATTTGAATCGTCTACGTCTCTACGAGTCTCGTGCTAGCCGCTCCATCGCAAGCTTTGGTGATTATCACGTCAGACGTTAAACTCTTACATCATTTTCTTCACATCTTTCATTTTAAACAGTCTAGACTGGAGACAAACTAGTATTATATCATTAAAAACCTCCCTAGCAACATGCATTTCCTAATATTTTGTTTACTTTACCTCAGTTACATAAATTCACCTATTCACTATTTATTTTTGTTTACTGTATAGTATACCCTAAATTTATCGCGTTTTATTCATACTTAAATAACTTCTCAGTGGTTGTGTGTGTGTGTGGCTGGTGGGTGCATGTGAGCGTGTGTGAAATAACTTAATAATTTTAGGTGAGTAAACACGTACCACTTCCTCTTGGCAAAACCTTCCATCTTATATTTTGTACGTTATAAACCTTGTCTAAGGTTTTGTTTTGCTCCCCTGATTTCATAATCAGTTTTTATTTATTTGTTTTTATCTGTCAAATGTATTGTTATGCTGATTATGGAGTCGAAATAAACTTATATTCCACCTAATGTGGAGTTTCACGAACCATCTTACCTTTCTATACATCTCGATAAGGGGTCATAACTTTGCTTTCTGCAAACTCTCTTCTAAAAAGTACACATATAAAAGGTCATTTGCAAACGTATTTTCTATCGAACCTCATCGCTTCTCATTATTGCACGAATTCATTTTACACGTCGGAATTGAAACGAACTTTATCACATTTATATCTTTAAAAACAGCGCACTCTATATATCGTAAGGTATACCATTGTAAGCTTGTATCCAACTTTCGGAGAAAAAAAGCGTTTAAAAGCGTCCTGAAAAAAAGAACTCCAAAACTGCCTCTTTACTTAAAAAAAACCACCCTCATAACGAAAGTAACAGCATCAGTGCAGATATAAATAAAAGACAGTGATACATATGAGGCAGAATATAGGAATGAAAAGCTTAATGAAAATAGCACATAGCGTAAAAATGTAGCAAAGTTTAGAACAATTATGGATGTAATGCAGCATAACATTTGTCCTACAGCGTTAGTCTTCATACACTTTTCAAAGAGTACTTTTTCCAGTTCATATGCACAAAATAGGTTGACATTTTTGAAGTATTCGCAGATGTAAGCGCATAGAATGACAGTGAAAGGGCATTTCGAATCGAATGGTAAATTGTTCGAATAGGTTCAGACGAAAATTTCGAATCGCTGCCATATTGTAGGCTATTTTTCCTGTCCGCATAATGTAGAGGTGAATGCTACAAATTTCTTTATTGAAGCCATATATTTACAATCGAATTCGGACATATGACTTGTTTTTCCTAGGTAATGTATTGCTGAAATATGTTTCTCATTGTGTTTGAACGCTCAGCGAACTTACTTGAGCGATGGATTTTATATTTTCAGTGATTTACGTGTCTGGAGAACTCATTACAATACAGTATTCGATATTCAATTTGATTTTTCTGTAGACCATGTCACCATTCCAACACGATGATCATTTTAATTTCAATTTATAAGCGATAAAAAGTCTGCCGCTTGGGGCAAAAGAGGCATGTTTTTGACAATTTGGAAAAATTGCCCATTAAAAGATTTTCTAACAGTAGTACCCAAACAAATTAGTTCAATAAAAAATTAAAATGTCATTAGAATTGCAAGCTTGGAAATGTGATTAATTGAGAGCGTTACATTTTTCAAATGTCACATTTCTCCCGCCCCATACGGGCACTGAACAAGACAACTATTGGAGTTTTCGTACAGAGTGTCCACAAAGTCCCTTTACAATTTCAAGTTGGTTATGAAGTCAGTTCTCTTAACTTTTATTTTTCTTTTTTTTTTGAATAATTGTTCAAGTATTTTACTTCATTTAATACATATACACCAAAACAATATATCGTATCGGTAAATTCCATATGTAATTTTAGAAAATTTCAAGACTTCATCGACACTCTATATTTTGTTTAAATATGATCAAATACGTGGGGTGTTGTCAAATATGAGGGTATAAATATTAAGCCTATTTTACTAGTGTTCCATGAAAGCCTTGAGGTGTTCTGCGTCAAACTGTTGTTTCACATTATATGGCCGAAAATATAATCTTCGAGATCGATCCTCTGTAATCTTTAATTGGGGTTTCTCCACCCCATAGGTTGAAAATCACTGATCTAAATCTTCATTAATAGATACTAGGCGTCTCCATCATTTCAGTTCTCGGCCTGTACGCTTTTTCTCGATGATCGAGGCCCGTCGCAACGTTTTGAACCGATTTTCTATAAAACCGGATCGTGCTTTAGCGTCGTAGTAAGCAGCCTGAAATTAACAGAAATAATTTCCAATGCTTGTTATACTTTAGGATATATTACATAGATTGCCAAACGCGGAAGTAGCACTCCGGAAGTGTGGGTACCAGGTCACCCTAACGTACCTTACCCTAACGTTGCTTTTTTGTTTTATTTAGTAATTAATAAAACATCTTTAGTTCGATTTTATTCTATTTATCAAGTTTCTGTTATAGACTAACACAAGGGTGCCGCCGCCCGATAACCAGTATTGGTTTTAGGCGGCTCCTTTCACCCTGGAAGGCGATTTTTTAAATTCCCTTTAATTTGAGTAGGTATAGTTCGTATATTCTGCATGGTGAAGAAATATATTAATGATTACTGTACCAATATGGAGATATCTAAGTTTGTTTGCCCACTTCACATCAAGTTGTGTAAATGGACAGAAGCCTATAGGCAGGGGGTATATTCACTTAGCTAACACAGAAATTCCCCGAACCCTAATAGAACTAAAATAAGGAAATCGGAATAAAATAATGGCTTAACCCTAACCTGGTACACACACTATGGGAGTACCGCAGAAGTTAACAGATTAAAGGAACGCGATTGCTAACGCTTCCGAATCTCGGGGAAAAATAAATACTTGATACCAATGAAAGTATTTTCAAAGTGTGTGATCTGGTGTCAATCGGAACAAATTGACGCACTCTCTGAATTATCAAAGGCAGGAATTAAGTCATTCCAATTATTAAAAATCTTGTGTTATATAATTTTAAAATCTCAACTCAACGATAACTCACAAAAGCAGGGCGAGTACTGTCTGTTGCGGCAAGGTTCGGAAAACTTCGGATAATTGCACGAGCCATCTGGGTCTTGTGGTGACTTGGTGGGTAGCTGAATAAAAAAGCAATAATTATATGATTGTGAGTCTCAGTATAACAATCCACCATATCCATTGGAACATGTATAGATATTATGCTTTTTACTGTACTATTATAGGCCAACGGTTATACCGTAAGCGAACCTCGAATATTATCTTTATACATGGCTAAACTCAAGTCATTACGATTTGGAAAACAGCTATGCGGTTGTAGATTCCAGGTTGATAAAGTTATTTAGGAAAAATATTGGGACCTCTTGAAGTATGCGCACCAAGATGTCGCACAATTTGAACCCTTACCTGGTACATAATCTGAGTTCAGGTTGTGCGCCATCTTGGTGCGCATACTTCAAGAGGTCCCAATATTTTTCCTAAATAACTTTATCAACCTGGAATCTACAACCACATAACAGTTTTCCAAATCGTACTGACTTGAGTTTAGCCATGTATAAAGATATTATTCGTGTTAAACATAGAGCCTACATATATTGTGCACGATACTCAACTATTTCTTGTATCCAATTCTCTCCGACAGCATATTCATTATCGAAACCGCAACCTGAACAAATCTTCTGTGAACTGATCTGTTTATTTGGCCATCTCGAATTAGGTCTTTTATTATTAAATGATAGCCTTGAATCTTGGCAATCTCTTTCCGAAGATCTAAGTTCTGAAAAAAAAATATTTTGCAGTGACGAAATTGCAATACTCTATTTTAGGACTGTGATTTAAACGAGGTGATTCTACACAACCAAACTTTACACAACCAACATCTTTTAAGGGGGGTTAACTTGCAGTTTATAATCTACCCAGTTGGGTACTCCGATAGTGTGTGTACCAGGTTACCAATTTTTTGCGATTTTCCATATTTTAGTTATATTACGAGTTCGGGGACTGTCTGTGGTAGCCAAATGAATATATTCATAGGTTTCAGTCGCTTTACATAACTTGATGTAAAGTAGGCGAACAAAATTAGTTACCTCCATATTGGTACATACATCCCAGGGGCGCCCCTCGTTTAGCATAATCAAAATTCTACATTTTGAGGAATTGCAAAATAACGAGAACTCAATACAACGGCCTCTGATTGGAATCAACAGCATAGTACCAGTTTCAATTATACTTGATCAGAGCATTTGCTGACGAATGTTATGCGATTTCACATCGGAATTTCCACTAAGAAGAAGCAAATCGCAGTGCAAAAAAATTTATCCTAATGTTGCTACTAATCTACTATACTATTTGACTTTTAAAAACACTTAAGGAAAGTAGACAGTCAAAACGAATAATTTATTTTACCGAATAAGAAGATGTTTTCCTATACCAATGCAATAACATACCTCAAAGGTTACTCCTTCTGGAAGTTTGTATCCAGAATTTAAAACCTTTTCGAGTTTCATCTTTTTATGTTCCAATGACGTCACATTTAGTATACGCGGTAAATCTTCGCTGGAAGTTGGTTTGTTGTTCTGTTGAATCGTAATTGATGGACTTTTTTCACACGAAGTCGTATCATTCGAACACGAGTAGTGGCTGTCTAGTATGTCATATGTGAGGGGATATTTGCATTTCCGCTTAGGTCTTGAACTCTCGCTCGTGTTATTGCTATCAGGAAATGAGTCTTTGAGAGTATAACGTCTAGGTTCATTTTTACTACGTTTAGCTTGTTTTGGATTTATAGGGGTCGAAGCATTTGCTATGTTCAACGTTATAACCTCAGGCACGTCTGCTGGAGATGCTGGATTTTGAACAAAGGGAGTTGAAGTTGAGGGCGATTGTTCTGTCAAGTCAATTACTGGTTTTATGTCCACAGGGTCGGGAACAAAGGGCGTGGTACTCGATATTTGAGCCACGGGTGAGAGAGGCGGGACGAAGCTGTTCTCCTGAACCTCAAATTTTGGATTGTTTTGAATAGTTCCAATTCGTTTCATGACTTCAAAAACAGCATTAGATATTTGAGATTCTGAAGAAACGCGGTTAGGGGTTGACTGTGGAAACTGCCGAGGACTCGAAAAACTATTGTTTGGTTGTTGCTGCTGGCCTGGGGCTGAATTCTGTCGAATTAGAAGCTGTATCTTTTTAAGTGTTCCCATTTTTCTTATTCCAAGCTCGCGTAAGTCTAATTCTGTGAGTTCCAACAGCGCCAAACCGTCTATTTCCTCGTCTGAAGAGAAATTCAATAAAAATCGTATCAAGTTAGTTAAGTTATAAGGTGTTATACTATCTAAACAGGCTTTGAAGTGATGGAAAATTGTGAATGGATACTGAGCTCAGTCAGTAATCAGTAATTTATTTCTTCACCATGCTGAAAGTACGAACATTCACAAATTAAAGAAAATACAAAAAAAAATCGCATTCCTGGGTGAAAGAAGACGCCGAAAACCAAAACTGGTTATCAAGCGGCGGCACCCTTGGGGAATTCTTATCTCTAAGTCTAAACACTTTGACACCAACTTCAGGGAAATAACACTTTCGACTTAGACTCAATCTCAAATAAATTTTTACCAGTTTGCAAGCGCAATGACCTAATGAGTGAATAATCACTGTATTCCACTATGTTAGCTTCCCGAAGTAAAAATCTTTGGTTTAAATAGTAAGCAGTAACTTTATCCGCAGTAACTTTATTTAAAAATGTGATACGTTATGCCTTTACGTTTGTATATGTAACGTTTATGTGGTACGTTACATCTTTCACAAACATAGGCCTATTGTACTTTAATTACCAGTCACTGCTTGTTTAGATTCTCGTTTGAATGAAAGGTTGAAGTTCTGCCAAAACTGTAATAATATTAAATCAGGATGGTTTTAAGTAGGCATGATTCATGGGTTTCGCATTTATTTCTGACGTTATGAAAAGTGGAATTTCGTTGATAGCACTGCGTGCAGAAAGCTATTAGTCATATGTAACGCGACATCATTGAGAATTGGGTCATACAAGACCCACGCGTGTGATAAATTCATTTCACTAGCTGCATTCAGTTCCGCGTCGGTTGGTTAATCGACAACGGCAATTCTGAATGAAACCGCTCGAGGCAAGTTGCTTGATATGCCGCCCACACAAATCGATTGATCTTTGAAACGCCGGCACATATTTTGATCATTTTTAACCCTGTGTAACGACTATCGTTGAACTGACGAATTTTTATGGTTCATTAACGATAAACAACTTTGTATCCTTGAGCGAGGTTTAAAGTGGACTATTATGCGTCCCAGAAACAATCAAGATGCGTCCCAGAAACAATCAAATACTTTAATATGAAATGAACAATATGGTAATAATAATAGCACACATGCATCTAACTAATAAAACGACGGGACAGGTCAGGACGAAACGAAGAAACCATTTCTTGGGACAAATACAGCAGAACATAGTTACCGGCACTGCCATTGAATTGAGCAGTGTGATACAGAGTCGTGCTTCGGCAAATTCCATCGTTTTATTTACACCGGTTGTGCTTATTTATCCTCGACGTGATACAGAGTCTCTGTGGATTTTACGAATATACCCACAGCATGGGCATAACCGTTGTATTTTTAGCTATGTTTATAACGTACTCATTATTTATTTTCATTCTATTTTGCTAATTCGTTGTCGTGAAAGTCAATTCACCAGGCTAAATCTGCTCGGAATGAAGCAATGTGTTTTTAGATAAAAAGGCGACAACGCAAAACAGTGACGCTATTTTGATCACGCGTGACCAGAAAATACATCATACATCGCGTGAAAGAGTTTAACTGTACACGAACTTACCTAGTAAGCGCCCCACAGTAATGTCGTCCAGATTGAACTCACTTCGCATATAATCTGAAAGTTCTGAAGTCGCAAAATTTTTTCTAAATCCCGGAAAATCCATACTTTAAGACGAATTAGACTGCCTCTTGATCTAAGAAACGTCTCTTTCTAGAAAATTATTGCGGCTAATTCTTTTCTGTGACGAGACAGTACCCAAAAAAGGAGAGAATAGAAGAAAGAAGCTATTACTATGCGCTATTTCTTATTTTCTGATGTCACAAGGACTGCGTTGGAACAAATCCAGAATACTCCTTTATAATGCAGCGCTCAAATGAAACAAGATTCGAGTGGCATTTATGTATATGCCTCGCAAAGTTTGGCACTATTTTTTGCGAGTGAGGTCTGTCTGATAGAGAAAAATATTACCGTTGATAAATGAAGCATTGTAACATATATTAAATTGAACACTATTTTTTGCGAGTGAGGTCTGTCTGATAGAGAAAAATATTACCGTTGATAAATGAAGCATTGTAACATATATTAAATTGAACTCTCTCGTAAATTTGACAAAATAGCTATAACGTTATAATAGAAGAAAGAAGCTATTACTATTAGAGATGTACCGATACCACTTTTGTCGCCGATACCGATACCGATCCGATACCAGCTAAAAAAGCCGATACCGATACGCCGACACTACAAAAAGGCCGATATTACCGATATTCCGATACCGATACTATGTAAATATTACTTAATTAGGTGTGCTGTGTAGGGCAGACGGGTTAAAACAATGGTCTTTGAGCGTTGTTCATAGTACACATTATTTCAGATCGAAAAATGATATATCACATAATATGAAATTAATGTTTGGTGTTTGCTTCAACTGATTAAGATACACTGTACAGTAACGCTAGTAATCTCGGTGTTCAATTAGAAAACTCATAAGCCGTGATGTCCAATTTGAATTTAATGTTAATATCGCGACCTTCGAATATCGTTATTCGTGTTTAAGAGAATATCGAATATCACCCACACATTCTAGAGCCGCCGTCCTACGTTCAAATTAAAAGCATTTTTCAAATATTTCATTTCGTGGCTAATCGTAATCGTCGACGCAATAAGTCAAAGCCAACATGAAAGAATATCAATCAGCACCGACCAAAAGAAGGCCTACCTATAACCGTCAAGGATGTTTTTTTACTTTACTATTTTATATTATTATACAATTGCCATCATATATTTTGAGACAGTCTAGGACTCTAGGCCCTCTAGGGCTAGGCGGTCATGTCAATATATCTATAAAGAAATTGTGTTGTAAAACAAAATTAATATCTGCGTAGAGAGATAATTGTGTCGGAATTTAGTTTATCGATGTCGTCGGACTAAATGACACTCGTACTTGACGACAAACAGTCAGAATTTATACCCGTGCCAAAAGTCCATGTGCCGTTAATAAGGACCCCAATTCCACTGTAGGATTTAAAACTGGGCGCCTAATTGCTTTTTGTTATGTGCCATGTTGATATATTTCTGCATAATTACTATGTAATATTAAAAATGTCAATATAAAAATTTGACAGCGAAAATAGCTAAAAATACGTGAATCATATTCTCTCGCGGGGGTAGGGACATGTATGGCTCATAGCTCACGATCTCTCCAGACAAAAAATAAATTAAAAAGTAGTATTACAACTTATCTTTTAAAACATTCTGGACCATATCAAAAAGGTAAATATATCGGAAATATCGGCCTTAATCTAACCGATACCGATACATGGCCGATACCGAAAAAATGGCCGATATTACCAATACCGATACCCGATATCGATACATCGGTATATCTCTAATTACTATGCGCTATTTCTTATTTTCTGATGCGACAAAGACTGCGTTGGAACAAATTCAGAATACTCCTTTATAATGCAGCGCTCAAATGAAACAAGATTCGAGTGGCATTTATGTATATGCCTCGCAAAGTTTGGCACTATTTTTTGCGAGTGAGGTCTGTCTGATAGAGAAAAATATTACCGTTGATAAATGAAGCATTGTAACATATATTAAATTGAACTCTCTCGTAAATTTGACAAAATAGCTATAACGTTACGTTAAAAACTAGTAATTTAAACGTTGGCTTTTAAACGTAATTTGAAATAATTTTATTAGATCCGCCTGTCAGGGGGTGAGGGTCGGACCCGATTTTAAAATATAAAATAGGCATATTTTATGTATCACACATAGCGATATTTTAGACCCCAAGACTCTCGATTAGGGATGTAAGTTTCAGAAATTCGAATCGAAGCAATTCGAATCAAACCTGATTCGAATATCGATTCGAAGCAATTTAAGAAAAAAAGGCTTGATTCTATTTAAAAAAAAAATGATAATTAAATAACACGCGGCGATTGCACGATGCAGGGACGAGTCTCAACATCGACCAAAAGCGTTTGTTCTCCTTGCGTTTAGTGCGTTCCCGAGCCGTAACACTCGGAGGTTGTTATAATTCATCTCGTCATCGACCAAAAGCGTTTATTTCCCATATGTTTACAGCGTTCCCGAGTCGAAACACTATGAGTATTTTACATGGTTCACAGCTTTAGAGTAAACAATGTTTTTTAGACTGTTTACAATGTTGGGAAGTTTTACAAATCTAACATTATATAAACGTTTCTATTAATTACCTATGTAATGTCATTATAATAACAAAATTATTCCTTATTTAAAACATAGTTCTGCGATTTCTTCCCTTGGTATCATTTTCTTTCCTCTAAAAATACGGCGCAAACGGTACTAACGCATGTTTCACTGGCGTTTATCATTTGGATGAGTATTGAAAGTTGATTTCAGAAGAAAGGATCACTATACAAACTACACAAAACTTTTCTAATATATTAGGTAGTTGATGCAACCATTCAATGGTTTTTTCTACTAACTATACTCATTCTTCAAGTTCATTATTGATATTATCACACTTTACGCTATATAGTTTTTCCAAATTTAAGAAAAGTTAACGATAATATGATGTTATACTAAATAGAATAAGATTCGGAAATATTCGAATCGGAACATTCCGATTAGGAATTCGATTCGAAAATAAAATATTCTAAACTTACATCCCTACTCTCGATAGTCGATACTCAGGCCTTCCCTTCCCCTTACAAATTCATGGCTACGCCCCAGCCGCCGGTGTATACCTTGTTAATAAAAAGCCGATGATCTTCGGTACTCCCAATAGTTGAAAGTACATAGTTTACTCAAGATATTTTCATAGTGAATTACATTTGCGAACATATTAAATAGATTGATGGTGTGGTTTCATTACATTTGAACCCGCGACAATTGCACCTGAATACTATTGCACCTATGGAAATTTGCACCTACGGATATTTGAACCGATACTAAACCCTAACCCAGGGGTGGGCAACTTCTCTAGTCGGCGGGTCGGATGTGGGAAAATGAAGTCCTCGGTGGGCCAGATTATAACATGTATAGTATTCAATATCTTAATCACATATTTTTTTAGCTATTGCAAGCGGGCGGGCCGTATGTTGCCCACCCCTGCCCTAACCCATGAATTTTAGCACCCGCATATAGATTGAACCCGCGGATATACGGGTGCAAATGTATGGGTTCAAATGTGCTGTCACTGATGTAATACATCCTTCGAATAAAAACAATACGTAAACTCCCGAGAGAGTTGTATCTAAAGTACACTGAAATAAATACAAGATGACATAATACAAAACGAATATTTCTTATCTATTTTATTCTTCCTTATCTATTCTATATCATTGTGTCATTTGCAAGCGTATATTCTAACGAATCTTACTCGCTTTTCGTTATTGCTCGGATCCATTTTTACATCGGAATTGATACGAACTTTATCACATTTAGGTATATCTTTAAAAATAGCACTCCACACATATCGTAATGCAGTGATTCTTAACCAGAGGCTCGTGGTCCAACATGCCAGACGCGAAATCGATTTTACTTTTACTAGAAAACCCAGATCTTGCTAGTTTCATTGCTTGATACGGTTATTTCACAGCGTGGTTTCCCTTCGTTGAGTATGAATTGTTTGAACATAATCAATGATTGAAGACCACTGGCGGATTTTATTATTGTAAGCTTGTTACGGCCTCGTCCAGAGCAAAAAGCGTGAAGCCTCCTGGAAAAAGACTAAAACTGCGTATCCACATTTTTCAAAAAGAATCAAAAAACACTCTTGTAACGAATGTAATGAAGGAACAGTGCACAAGTATAAAGAAAAAGCAGTGGCAGAATATAAAAATGAAAATGAATGAAAAATTCAATGAAAATAGCACATATGGTGAAAATGAAGTCAGGAAATAATTAAGGATGTAATGCAGCGTCCCTTTTTCCACCTCATATGTACAAAATATAATGACAATCTGGAAGTCTTCGCACAGTAGTTTTGGATGTTTACGTTACCTGTAGCATGTCTGGCTACAGTTTACAATTATTATTTTTTCTGTAGACAGTTCCAACAGGATGATCTTAATTAATTTCAATTTAGAAGCGATTAAATATGGCGACCACTTCGCGCGAAAGAAGCATGTTTTTGAAGAACAAAAAATTGAAAGAATTGTTCATTAAAATTTTTTTAACGATAGCATCCAATCGAATTGTCTCAATGAATTAAAATGTCATGAGAAGTGCAAGCTGGGAAATGTGATTGAGAGCGTCGAATATTGAATGTCACATTTTTCAGTCTCATAGGGGCACTGAACAAGAGAACGATTGGAGTTTTTGGAAGTCAACAATAAATCCTCGTTGGCATTACCAATTTGTTATAACCCATCTGATGTGGTCGACAGAGGCTTGACAATTTTTTCGACAAATGAAAGATTTTCAATCTTGAACTTGAACCTGAATCACGTCATATCTAGATCTTGATAGTGATTTCCAACCAGCGGAACAGTAGAGTTACGCAAGTACAGTCCAGGGCGCTCAAGAAGTGTGTGAGCGATATGGAGGTGACTGATTGTGTCGGCCTACTCAATATCACAATATCAAGTTATGTAAAGGGACTGAAATCTATGGGCAGAGGGTATATTCACTTGGCTAAAACAGACAGTCCCCTAACTCGTAATAGAACTAAAATAAGGAAAGTCGGAATAAAATTATGGACTAACCTACGCACTATGGGAGTATCCAGTCCAGGGGTTCCGTAAGTTTACATCCGTGAGTCTATGATGCTATATGTATATTGTTTAAATGTAATCAAATACGTGGGATGTTGTCAAATATGCGGGTATAAATTAATGATATAATAAGTCCATTTTACTAGAGTTCCGTGGCATATTT